TCATGATGTCTTGGAAGCAAAGAGGAAGAAGGGAGCCTGGAACAAGACATGGCCTGCTGGTCTGGTCCCACAATCGCACCAGCCCCAAATAACACACAGAGATGCTGTATTAGATATAATGCTGTTAGCCAGTTAATAGTTTCTTATTGCTGGCTCTGTCTTAAATATTAACCCATTTCCATGTGGTCCTATCTTACTGGAGAGAGGGGCCCGGACCTCTGTTCTCTCAAGTCTCTACATGTTGACTCCTCCCTACTCCTTCCTCTCTCCTCCTAATCGCCTAATCCAACATATCTTGCTTTCCTATTGGCCAACAGTGTTTTATTCCTTAACCTATACGAGAAACATATTTACAGAATGACATCTCCCATCAATGGCCCCCAAGACCCACTCAGTTCAACGGTGTTCCTACTGCCTGTTTCCATCACCTCACAGTGTCTCATCATCAAATCATGAAACAGTTAACAGACTGATCCACTGGTGATCAAAACCCTCATGATCCCAGCATTCCCCCAAGGGAATCCCTGTGTTGTTGGTGGTCATTCAGTTCATTTCTGTGGCCGTGACAAATAATCCAAAGCAGCTTTGGAGGATACAGGGTTCATTTTGTTTACTATTCCAAGTCACAGCCCATCACTGAGGGGCGTTAAGGGTCCCTGAAGACACGCCCACTTGGTATTTCACACAGGATTACCTTCAATAGAAGAACTCACTTCAAAGCCAAAGATGGCAGGAACCATGGTGGAGTATGCATGCTAGCAGGCTCACTTGCTCATCTATCATTTTTACACAGCACTGGAGCACCTGGCCTGGGAATGGTACCGCCTATGGTGGGCTAGGTCCTCTGACATCAATAAAAAAAAACCCAATACACTCTTCCACGTTCATGCCCACAAACCAGGCCCAACTAGGCAACCCTTCAATTGAGATTCCTTTCCATGTGACTACAGGCTGTGTCAAGTTGATAGTGAAAGCTGACTAAGACAATGCTCAAACTTTCAATTCATGAGCCTTTGGGGACATTCCAGATATAACTGTGAACAAGTACCTTCTCAGGTGGGGGCCTTACTTTCCCTGGTTACATGCTTCCATCACCATACCATCCATCCCACTGCTAAGGCTAACACACACTGTCACAGTAGACATATGTGAACCACAGGCATGATCTGTTGTCTCATTACCAAGGTTCAAAAACAAAACTGGGTAAAAAATTGCTTTACTCTACTATGTTCAAAAGTACAGTTTCTAAGGAGAGACTTGTGAGACTGAATTGCACATTGCACACTTAGCTGGAGAGTCTGGTGTAGCTGCGCACCTCGTGGGGGACTTGTTTCATTTTCAGAGCTCCTGGCTGTTGGTCAGCACGTGGGACAGAACACACCAGACAGGCAACTTTATGTTCAGTGCTTTTCATTCGCCCAGTGTGGCTGTTAAGTGGCTCCTGGTACCAAACTCCTCCTGGTCAGCTTTTCCTGTGTGACAGAAGCAGGGGATGCCATCCTAGTAGCTGCACTGACCGGGAGGGGTTCTTTGGACATGTCTGCTTTGCTTCCGGGAGGTGGGAGCTCTTGGGCTCTACCTGGTGAGAGGAGAGTATTGTGCGTAGGTAGGGGTGCACCTCAGCTCTCACACCTAAGAAATGCAGGCAGGGTTGTGGACTGGGCCTAGAAGCCACACAGTGCTCTCCCAGGCTGTGGGGCCCCCTGACCTGGAGACTTGAGTAGGTAAGGAGAGCCCTTCTTAGCCAGTCTCCCACCCTGACTGAAGCCCCCCAGTTTCTCTCCTACCTCTTCATTCCTGGTCTCTATCCACCCCCTTCCTCTCCCTGCACCTGGACCACACCTTCCCCACACTCAGGGAAGTGTGGTATTCTGCTGGCTCTCAGCCCTGCTCTGTCAGCTTCAGCTGCCACAGTGTATGCAAGCTGTAGGTTCTGGGAGACTGGGCATGTCTGTGTGTAGATAACACCAGCTCTCAGTTTCTCTGAGGGTGGCACAGAGTAGGTACAGAGGGATTCGAGTCAGGTTACTCTGCCCGTGACCTGGAAGCACTTATGTGTTTATTATAACAGTGTAGCCTGGGCTGCACGACGGACTTGCTTGACCTCACTGTCATGGACATTGGAAGTCTGAGATGGAGATGCTGGTTTCTCCTGTGGCTCCTCTCTTTGGTATCTTCTCCTTATGGTTCACCTGATTTTCTGTCTGCTCTAAAGACACTAGTCTGTTTAATTAGAACTCACCCTAATGGCCTCATTTTAACTAAATTCTTTCTAAGATCCTGTATCCATTTGCAGCCCTATTACAAAGTACTGGGGATTAGGTTTTTAGCATATGAATTTTGGAGGGAGCATAACTTGGAACATAATACCTGCTGTATGAGTACGGATAAGTTTGCTACCCTCTCTGTGCTTTAGTGTCTTTCCTCACAACACAGGACCAACGTTTAAAGAAATTATTGTAAAGTTGAAGTTGGAGAACGGAGCTGTGGGCTTTGAACACGTGTTGCCTGAATAATTCTTTTTCACAAACTCTGTGACCTTGGTATTTTGTTTTATGTGTTGTTGACATCTCAATTTTTCCCCCTTACAAATGTAAATTGTTTCAAAGGAGGTGTTCTCCAGAGCTCTGCAGAAATATCTATCTTAAAATGGTATGACTATGTCAGTCTGTTTGTATTCTTGATTTTAATCACTAGCCCTGTTTATTTTAAGCACCCCATGAAGGAAGAAAGAAGCACCCCAAGAAGTGGGTTGGGGTGGGGTGGGGTGGTGGGGAAGGCCTCGCACAGAAGCCTTGGCTGTAAGGAATGTCATCATGTCCTTTTACCTCTCCTCTTCTCTTCGTCCACTTGCCCCACAGAATTTTGTCCTGCTTTCCCACAGCTGTTGTGCTTAGCTGCATTCACGTGTACCTGCGCACAAATGTGTGTGCACAACTTCCCATTCTCTTCTCTCCATGTGTAGGTGTTAAAATACTGTTATAAGATCAAATTATCAATACTCCACAATTAATGGTATTTGGGAAGATTACTATCAAATGAACAACAGAAATAGATCATTTGTTTAGATAAATAATTAACAAGCATAAAGCAAAAATGTATTGGAAGTGCACTTCTATTGAAATAGATTTTTATTTTTACTGTATATATCGTCCATGTAAATGAGAAGATGAGGGTTCTGAATTTGCTTAGGGGTATAGTTCTCCATCAGTCCCATTCCTATTTTGTTAATAAATGTGAGCATGGGAATTTCACCTTCCATACAAAAGAAGACAAGAATAGATGGAGTTTTTCGTATGCTACTCAATACCACATGCAGCTTTTGAATTATGTATGTTAAGAGTTAAATAATGATCTAGCATCAAAGATGCTGTTTAATATGCTGCCAGCTGACACCTGGATTCAGTCGTTATTCAATCCTCGTTGGAGGCAAAACATTGGAAATTCCATTCTCCTGAGTTTTAGCTGCTAAGCTGTAGTTATTTGAAGTCTCAGTGGGCAGGAATACTTCATGTCACTTCATGCATTCTGCTCCTTGGGACAGGTCTCTATGGTCTAAGTACCAATGAGTAGACTGCATGCCTTGGCTTTCTGAAATGGAAATAGTGATGTTATAAGCAGAGAATAAAAAGAATCTTAGTCAGATCTCAGACACATTGCAAGAGAACCCAAAATTGAACAAAGAATGCACTAGGATATACATAGTCTATTGATCCATATAAAGTTTACAATGCTGTCATAAATATCAATTTTCAGAACATTCTATGTTGCTATTGTTGTATCCATAAACCATCTAGTTCACAGTAGGTATTCAGTAAATGGAGTGCAGGAGCTGGTTTGCACTGGCCAACTGCATCACAGATCACCCTGAACACAAGAGCATAAAACAACCATTTTGTCTGCTCATTCATAGGTTGGCAGTTCAGGATGAGCTAAGCTGAGCAGCCCTGCTGCGCTGTCAGCTAGAGTTATTCATGCAGCTAAAGTCTAATGGTGAATCAGTTGGGGTTGCTTGTTCCGAGCCCCCAGCTACCATGGTTAATGCCTTCTCTGTGGGCACTTATATTCCAGTGGGCCCACAGAATATCTGACAGCAGAAGAGTCACAAGACTCAGATACAGCACTTTTTTATGCCTCTGCTGGTGGCACATTGGCTAATGTTCCTTGGATGCTCAAGCTACAATGAGGTAGGAAGTGTTATACATAGGTGTGAACAGATGAAAGGGTAGACTCCCTGGGGCTGGCTATATAAACATTTGCCACACATTTCAGGATTCCCCTGGCTGTTTCAGTTTTCCTCTGTTGAGGTAACCTCAGCTTCAGGTCTTAGATCAGACACATTCTGGTTTAAGTGCCCATGTTTTCTGATTTTTACACTATAGACAGAAGTTTGACTCAAGGAGAACCATGGTAGAAAGATACCTTGCTCCAAGACTTGCTTCTTTAGGACATCTTCTTCTTGTTGTTTTTTTGTTTGTTTGAAACAAAGTCACTATACAGCCCAAGGCTAGTTTCTCCTTCCTCAGCCCTCCAAGAGTTGCACCGTCGTATACTTATGGAAGAAGTTCTTTGAGACCATAAAGAACATTAACAAAAGAGTTAAATCCCATTTACAATGAGAGGCTTCTAAGGAGAGATAGCCAGTCCTGTTTGATCCAAAAAGCTGTTTTCATGACTCAGAGCTCACAAGTGGAGGCCTTCACCACTCCAGGACCCTTTAGCATAGAATGCAATTCAACTTGTCCTGACCAAAGATGTATATTATGATGTCTGAGTATGTGGCTTCATACCTGGCATATAATCCAGAAATGAAATAATATCGAGCCATTGGGGTGCCCTCTCATTTCTCTGCCATGATTTCACTCAAAAGTTAGTTGTAGGCAAGAAGTCAAGAGTTGGCTGGTGCAGCCCTACTACCTGAGCAAGATGTAGGTCCCTGCCTTTCAGGTAATGCCAAACTAACCTTTATTTACCGATTTTCATTCTTTTTTCTTTCACAGTGAGACATTATTTGGTGAAATGCCCTCAGAACAGGTAGGATTTGAATATTTTCTTTGTTATTTCTTTTTGATATTTTACTTTCTTTTTATAGTATCAAGAAATTGGTTAAAAATATATTCGTACTAAAGGATTTTGGTCTCAAGAAAGCCGAACAAAGTATGTTCTGTATATGTTTGCATGTATGAATAGTCCACATGCCAGTCATAATCTCCACAGGGTCCAGATGGCATGTAGCTCATGCTGGTCCAACCTCTATCTTTGAGGAGCTAGAAAGATGTCCTGTAGGGCCATGTGAGACCTTATGAGTGATGTGAGCCACCTCAATAGCTTCTCCCCACAAACACTTCTAATCTTTTCCCACAAGTACTGACATGGCCTGTGTTCTACTTTATCTGGTGATAGGCCTCATTGGGAATATAGTAGTTATACATTCAAATTCATAGCTTTTAAGATTTTGGAATTTCTAACTTTAAAACATGTCAATGGAACACAGAGTCTTTTATTAGAATGCTATTAAAATCACTCAATTACAGTAAAAATACAAAAATCATAACTAAAATGAAGAAAGATAATTGACCAGATCAGCATGGAGGTTACTTAGATATTGGAATAACCTGATAAGGATTTTAAATCAGTTGTCACAAATCTGTTTAATCAACTGAAGAATCTTTTTAAAACAAATGGTAAATAAAAGTGCCACCCAACAAGATAAGTTATTTTAAAAAGTAGAAATTATAGAACTGAGAAAATATAATAACAAATATACATCTTATTCAACAATAGGGTGACAATGTCAATAAGTAATTGGTAAAAGGAAAGACAGATTGATAGGATCATACAAATGCAAACAAACTAAAAAATGGATGAACACCTAGTTCTCAGGGACCTGGGACAGGGGTAATTCATACTATCAGGTTACAGAAAGAGAATGTAATCTAGAGAAGTTGATCATTATTTATTTATTAGAAGGCAGATAATAGGCAGACACTTCCCAAGTTTTGCAGAAGAAAAAAGATTCATAGATAAAAAACAAATCCCAACCAGGATAAGTGTACTAAAATCTACATGAAGACATAGCATAAGTAAGCAAGAGGTGAACTTAGGTGTATGTATACTCTCTGAATTAAAAAAAAAAAAAAAAAAAAAGACAGAAAGAAATGGTGTTCTTCCTGGAATCTGGAAGAACTACAGCCAGAAATTCTATACCCAGAAAAACTATCTTTCAACTATCTTTCAGGAATGAAGGTGTAAGAAAGACATTTTCAAATAATTCGTTGCTAGGTTACTGTAAATAAGAGCTAACAATCACCTATTTGAAAAATTACATGGAAAAAAAAAAAAAAAAGGCTTGAGCCCAAAATTAAAGCAACCTTCAATAATCAGGAAGGAAGGAACAACTTGAAAATGCACATACACACATTATATAACAATGTGTATATTTTATTACTCCATTGAGAATTTCATACATGTCTACAATATATTTTGATCATATTCACCTTCCATGCCTCCCCTAACTTCTCTGAGACCCACCCATTTTTGGATAATATCCTGTGAATACTCATGATTTTAAAATATCATGTCTGATGATTAAAGCAAAAAAAATTAAATCAGCTGATTCTCAGACAGTGATATTTAAAAGTAAGGTCAATAAGATGACCCTTATAGAAGAAGGGTCTCTACTCTTCATTTGGCGAGGGAAAGTTGGTGACAGTAGATAGTGGTGATTACACATTCATATTCTCATTCCAAAACAATTACTGAAATAACTCTACCCCAACACTAAAAAAGACTATAGAAAAATCAAAATATTCTCAAGTCACATAAAGAAATAGAATAAATAGAATCCTAGGAAAGGGAGGGATAAACAATAAATTATTTCTTTTTTATGATTATATTTTTATTTAAATTGGAAGCAAGCTTGTTTTACATGTCAATCCCAGTTCCCTCACCCTCCCTTTCTCACCTGCCCCCCAAACTTTCATCCCATCCCCTTTCTGATCCCCAGAGAGGGTGAGGCCTTCCATGGGGGAATCTTCAAAGTCTGTCATATCATTGGGAACAGGGCCTAGGCCCTCCTCTGTGTGTCTAGTCTGAGAGATTATTCTATGATTTTGTTGAATATATTTTCTGCACCTTTAAGCTGAGATTCTTCACCTTCTTTATACCTAATATTCTTTGGTTTGACATTTTCTATGTCCCATATTTATTGGATCTTTTATGTTAGGGATTTGTTGGACTTAAGATTTCCTTTGGTTGATGAGTCTATTTCTCCTTGCACTGTCTGAATTGTTTCTTGCAATTTTTGGTTTGTCTTTTCTTCCATTTATTTAAAGCATTTTCTCATTTCTTCTTCCTCTTTTAGGGCTCTATCATCTTCATGAAGTTATTTTTAGGGTTCTTTTCTGCTTCGTCTGTGTTGGGAAGTTCAGGTCTTGCTGGTGTGGAGTCTCTAGACTCTGATGGCATAGTATTCATCTTTCTGTTATTGACTGTGTTCTTATACTGTTGTCTACCCATCTCTTCTTCCAGTGCATACTGGTGAGGTCTCTTTCTCTCCTGGTGGGTATGAGGCCAAGGTTCTCTTCCAGTAGGTGCAAGCAGATCCAATATTCCAACGGCTCTCCTCTTCCAGTGGGTGGTGGCAGAACTAGGCTGCTGGCAGGCACTAGATAGCCAGTCGGCTGGGATGGGCTCCCCCTGTGGTGCACAGTCCCTAGTCCTCCAATAAAGTACTTCTTAAACTGGTCTAAATATATCAGTTGAATCACAGAGCCTGGCATAGTAACTAATTATGTGTCCCAACTATATTGTGTTTATAAGAAATTCACTTCATACACATGACATAGGCAAGGTGACAGCTAATGGATGAAAGAATTACCATGCAGTCCACAGTCCATATTTACTTTATTTCATAAAGTAAAAACAGAGAAAAACACTGAATAGGGGTTGGCTGGAACATTAGATGGTAAAATGACCAATTCACCAGAAAAACAAAGGTCCTAAATAGTATATGAACTGAGCAACAAAGACACAGAACTCAAATAGCCAAAACTGAAGAGTTGAAGGAAGACAGAAAAATCCATGGTAACTTTTAGCAACCAATAGGCTTGGCTTAGGTCCCCAATCCACAAGGTCACTGAAGACATAAGTGATACTGTCAATGAACAGGACCTAATTGATCCACCTCCAGAAATCAACTTATGGAAGATCACTTTGTTTTTCATGAAATATTCACCAAGATGTCTCCTAGGCTGAGACAAACAAACCTCAACAACAAAAAGACTTGGAATCATACCGTATAAATTGACTACAGTGAATTAAAGTTGAAAGTGCCAGTGAAACAACAGTAGGGAAATCTCGAAGCATGGAAAAATGAGGCATTGTGCAGTCTGTTAAAAGTTACAAATGGAGGCTCGACAGCAAGGGAGCGGTGCAGACATAGGTACAGCAATCAAAGAAGCACACACGGTACAGAGAACAGAGGATACATAGGATCCAGAAGGAATCCTTCATGTGTGGTCTGACATGCTGAGCTCTGACGGGCCTAGGGCAATTCTAAATAGAAGGCATGTACTTATTATAAAGTGGTGTGTATTCCATAGACATCCACAATTGGAAACATGAGCTGAGATACCTTTTCTCACAGTATCAGTAAACATAATTAAAGAGTCTTAGTCCTAAGTATAAAAGCTATAGTTTATGAAACTATAAAAATTTCTCAGAGAAAATTCTGTGTCCTTGGATTGGGTAAAGTGACATGGTTCAATATTCATAAATGAGAGACTGATAAAAATTTAGTTCCAAAGACACAATTGCAAAAATGAAAAGACAAGCCACCAAATGGAAAATGTCTGCAAATCAGATAAGTAATAAGGAATGTGTTTCCAGATACAGAGTTCTTCCAATTGGATAATAATATGATAAATAGCACAATTAAAATAGGCAAGGGTGATTTGAACAGGTATTTCCCTAAAGAAGATGTGCCCAGGGCTCATAAATATGTGGAAAGATGCCCAATATCTTTAGTCATTAATTAGGGAGATGCAAATTAAATAATAATGTGATTCCAGTACACCCCAAATATAATGCCTACAATCCAAGAGACAAATGATGCCAAGTGTTGGCAAGCATATGGAGAAACTGGATCATTGTACACCCTTGAATGGAATAGCCAATAGGGAATATAGTTTGGTAGTTTCTTAAGGTGTGACTCTTAATAATATGACCCACAAATTGTATGTGTAGGGATCTACCCAAGTGGAATGAGAGCATATGCCCACACAAAGACCTGTATGGAATTGTTCACAACTGCTCTATTCATAATAACCCAGAAACTGGAGACAATCCAAATATGTTCATCAGCTGTCGAGAGAGTAAACAAAATGCAGCAGATCCATCCAATTAAGTTCTACTTGGCAAAGAAACAGACTGTAGAAATAGGCCATCCTCAAAACGCCACAAAGTGAAAGAAACCAGGTGCAAAATTTACAACTGTGTACTATTGTAATGAAATGCCTAGAAGAGGGAGATTTATGGAGACAGAAAATAGAGCAATGTTTGCTTATAGCTGGGGTTGAGCATGGGGATTAATTGTGGACATGATTAATGTGGTGTGGAATAAGTGTAGAATATGCGGGGCTGTGATTGCAATATCCTAAAAACATATTGTACTGGTGATTGTACAACTTGTATGTCAACAAAACTCTACTTTGTATCCTAAAGCAATTATGCCTCAAGGAAGCTGCTTGTTTCTTTCTTAAGACCGTGCCCCCTCACACTCTAGGACTAGGGTGAATGAGGCACGTCATTTGGAGAGAGGGTTATAGCTGGTTCAGTTATGGTTGCCTAGAGGCCAGCCTACCAGTCTCTGTTTCCTGGGATAGCTGGAGATCTTCATGGAGAGCTTGCAGCTCCTCCTGATTTGGGTCTTCCTCCCTGCTCCTCGATACCTTTTCCTTACAGCAGTCACATTCTAAGCTGGGTGGAGGATCAAAGATGTCATCCTAGTTTGGTAGACATTAGAGATTTTCTTC